GTGTCACGGCTCGTACCACTGACTCCTGTTTGTAAAACTGATCAAAAGAGTATTGACGGAGCATTGCTGTGTCAGAAATCGTTCTGATCAATTTTTGTGTAGAAAAGTCTTGATTTGGATTACAGCTTTTTCAAGGAAAATCTAAACAATCGCTTGTTTGAACAAAATAGTTCCAGTCTTAACAGAATTTCTTATCTCTTGAAAAGACTGTCTCTGCAAATTGTGTTATTTGCTAATGTGAATAAGCAAAAAGTCTGACTTGCTATGAAGTGTTACAAGTTCTATGCAAACTAGGTGTTTTGACAGGTCCCAGAGTAAATTTTTGAAAATTGTTATGAAGTATTCAGATGGAAAATCAAATGTTTGAAAGCTGGAAATTCCAGTGGAAAGGAAATTCTGACTTTTAGCCATCTCTAATTAAGCAGTCAATGAATACACTGAAGTTTCATCGCTGTTGCTTAGGCTGATACACCGGTTACACCAGTTAAACTAATAGCAAGAAAAGAGTTCCTACCTGTATGCTGTTACTGCAGAGGAGCTGATGATTCAGTGAGACGCCACTGTCTCAGCTGCACTCTGTGTATGGAAGGTTCTCGCTAGTCATGAAGAGCAGAAATGGACTGCAAATAAACAAAAAGTAGCTTCTCCATAATGAAGGCTCCATCTGTTTGCAAAGAGCGCAGATACCCTGCTGTTAAATTATTTTTAAAAATACAGGGTACGTCATCCTCTTTTGGGCTATGTCACTCTGCAAGTTTCGAGAAGAACCTGCTACTTACTATTTGTCAAGAACTCCCCCTTTGGAAACTGTTGAAGCCACTTAGTGAAAAATGGTAGAGTGGGGTCCATAGGAATTTAAGAGGAGGTAGGTCCAAACTGCTACAGCTGTGACCTCAACGCCGGTCCCAAACATGCACTCCCACTCCCTTTTGATAAAACTTGTGTGATCACACAGGGAACCTATCTCCCTGCTGACGCACACACCCACCCACACATGCACACACGGCACGACGGAGTGCGAAGAAACAGAAGGATTGGGGAAGGCTGAGGCTATGCCAGGCCTTTTCAGACTGAAACTGCAGTGTAAGGAAATGAATCACATAACATCCTGTATTTGTGGTTTGCTGTGCCTATTTGTGCAACTGGAGTGAATTCTTAAGCTGTTTGATGGAGGTTCATCCTTGGCAGAATGTTATTTACTCTCCCAATATTATAAGTAAAAAGCAGTTACTTATTGTACGGTACTGAGCACGCACACAACACGTAGTAACGCGTGTAAGTCCTCTCTCAACATGCAGTGAGATGAGTGTGGATGGAAATGACAGTGTGGTCTTTTCTGGTAGTCTCCAAGGCCATTGCTATACATTTCTATTCAAGTTGTGGCAGAGGTTTTGAGTTGCTTGTTATACCTTCTCTTTGTCTCATGCGACTGTCTCCTCAGTTGTGCTGACTCAGCTGTTTGGGTCACCTGCCTCTGTTCGTGTTCTTAGGTATATTTAGAAAATCTGGATTATTGCATGTGTTTCTTGGCACATGTTTACTTTGGAGAGATAAGTAAACTCTGCTTGGGAAATAGAGGGCAAGGATGACTTCTCTGGAAGTTGGTGGGGGCAGTAATCTCCTAAACAAGACCTACTGGTTACAGATAAGTGTTAAAGCAGCCTGAGCATCCCAAAGGCTTGGTTGCTCTAGATGTGCTGAGCTTTTTTTGCCTGTAGTTTTGCTTTTAGTTTTACTTCCTGTGGTTGTAGCTTCAGCAGAGCAAGGATGTTTTTGCCTTCTGTGGTTGTAGCTTCAGGAGAGCAAGGATGTTTTATACCAGCTAAGTAGATGTCTTTATTAATGGCACTCTTAGAACAAGCTATTCTGTGCACAGAAAACTAATGTAGCCAATTTTTGCATGTTTTCTTCTCTGGGTGGATTTTCTGATATTTAAGAAAGACAGCGAGCGGTCTTTCTTTGTGTAAGTTTGCAGGCCATGAACAGGCCATGAATATGCCTTTGTTTTACTCAGTTGTCTATTCTGATGAAACTTGTAGGAACCTAATATCTCTGAGGCAGCTACCTCTATGCCAATTTTGCTTGAAATTGGCCACTGGGATGTAAAAGTTATTGCATGAAAGGTGGAGCAGACAAACATGAATGCGTTACCCTCATTTCCTGAGGAAACCTGGCTAAAAAGTCCTGCAGTGTCTTTAATAACAATAAGCAATCTGGTCTTGCATATGCATTATTAGATGCTATTTTGTTTGAAGTGCTGTAATGTAACCCAGTTTTATACTACATCTAGTGACTGGTTTTAGGCTTACAGAGAAGAAATAGAGACGTTTAGCAGGGAGGTGTAGAACTGAAGAGTATTTGACTGCAGGCTGCAGTCCTCCAGTACGTTGTATGGCAGCTGACTGCCTCTTCAGAGGCCTGCTGAGTTCAGTGGGGTTTCCACTGAGCATAGCAAACTGTGGCTATGAAGAAACTGCAGAGCTGGGGCTATAGTTGTTTTCAGCATGTGCACAAGGAATCAAATGAAAAGACAGTAGTGCAATTCAAGATAACAAGCTCTTAAAATAAGTTTAGAGGATTCAGGAGATATATTAAGGGGAAACTTAACATCAGTAAAGAAACTGCAGAGAGATGAAATGGAGTGTGAGGTTAGACAGCCACAAGTT